AAAAAAAAAAAAAAAAAAAAAAAAAAAAAAAAAAAAAAAAAAAAAAAAAAAAAAAAGAGGAGACAAGGCACATGGTGATGGGAAAATGCAGAATCTGTATGGTGTTTTATGGAGAAGCATTATTTGAAGTGGAAGAAGCTGTGTTTCCATGGAAGACAAAATTTTGATTAAGAAAATGACTTATAAGCATAATGGATGAAGGTATAATTAAATCAATGGATATTTCATATTAATAATTCTCAACCTTATAATAAAATTAAATAATAATAACAATAATAATAATAATAATGATGGTCCATTGATGCTGATTTCCCACTTACATGCCCACATAAACTTTTGAGTTTAGTCAAATTATCCCATCAAAATCGAAAACCTTTCTTCGGAAATATAACCCATACATTTTTTCAAATATATTCCTATCATTTTCCATGCTCCGTGACAATTCGATCGAGATTAAAATGATGGACAATTTATCATCCTCCACTACACCCTCGTAAAACATTGAATCTAAGCCACTCGTTCTTCTCATAATAGATCCCGACTTAAACAATATCATATATATTTCAATACCATTATCAAATATTAGATATGTTATAAAATTCAGAAAATAAATAAATAATAATAATTTATAAAGAATGGGGTACGTGGCGGGGTTTTATTGGGCGTTAGAAAAGGTCAGGAAAAGGCTAGGGCGGGGAAATGACAGAGCTACCTTATCCGTTGACTGTAGATAGACAAAATAGTACCCAATGAGGGAGTGACGCGTGTAAGGTAATTACCGCAGGTAGCCGGTTTTAGATCTACCGACTATGAAAGTCTGGAACTGAGGTCTTCGATGGATTAGAGCCACGTGTGCATATGATGGGCACGATCTTGTCAGATTAAGGTTTTGCAAAAGGTTGGTTTTGTTAAAACGACAGAACTGTCACCGTCAAAGTGGGGACAGTCGCTGCACTATGGTAAAATAATAATAATTATTATTATTATTATAAAAAAAAAAAAAAAAAACCCTAAAGCCTCGTCTTGGAATCTCCATCGTGCTCGGTCCCACTGACGTGGACGTGCATTACCACCTGGCAATCGATCCGTGGCTAGATTAGAGTAAAAAACACAGGCGTGGGCCCCACCACTTCCACCTATTTATTTGTTTACATGCATATACATATATACATATGCATATACATACATACATACATACATATATATATTTTGTCCTATTAAAATTTAAAGGTTTATTTTATATGTTTATCTCAAAGTTTAATAATTGGGCTTCTATTCTCTGCATTCGTGTATATAATAAACTAGCTGGATTATCTAATTATATATTTTTAATTATAAAATGGAAGAAATTAAAATTTTACTATTTTTTAATGAATTAAAAAGAGGAATTAGAGGTCTAATGTCACAGCCCAATATTTTACTACGGACAGTGACCAACGACACGACACAGACGCACAAGAGATTTAAATATGAAGTAGCAAAAATCATCAAATTTCAATAAAGTTTTTCGAACGATAACACAGAACACAATACCGTTTGGAAAATAAATTTAAAAGGAATGCGAATACAAAAATAAAGACTAAGACTGGACTGACGCCCCGGGACAACCCATCCCTCTGTGACAATTCCCTTCAGATCACGCCCACTCTTGACCGACGCCTCGCGCTCCTGAAAAAAAAGGAAAACATAGCAAGGATGAGTATAAAAATTATACTCAGTAAGCCACCTACTTGTAGGCTCTTTTCGCATCTTAATTTAACAGGTTGCCACGGTTTCCTATTTCGGTTCTAGGACGACTGACTCTAATCTAGGTCCCTTGGGGCTTGCCCCTTGGGTTTCACTGATTTTTCGTTCTCTCATTAAACGCCCAGAGGTTCTTTATGCCAAGCTAATATGGTCGGTATCTCTCTATGAGGTGCTACCTCCACATGGCTATCTGGGACTACATGGTACCTGGCCTAGGGGTGTGCTGAGTACCCCTACGCCCATCTAGTCCCTCTATGGGGGGCGCAACCCAACCCGTTCCCATGCAGCTAATGGGCTGTACGACGTGGGGACACATTTCCCATGCGAAATGGCTAAGAGCAGTAAGGACTGATCAGGGACCCCTTGGTCCTCCCACGAAGCTATAGATACCGTTCACACGCTAGCAATCTATGAACGCTCCGGGGTACCTTCTTACCGTGGTAAACCACTAAGTTCCTAGGGAAAGATTAAGTCAGGCTGGAGCGGCATTTCACTCCTATCCAAGATTCCCTAATCTTATCAAGGAAATAATTAACAGAGGGTGCATGTAATCTTCTTCTACATCATAGTATGTAATTCATGCAAACTAGGCATACCGGCTCAGCGGGGCGATGACCTCCATCAAGCACCCAGAGCACGAAGTTCGCGCTCAATGGGGCGAATTCGTCCATCAAACACCCGAAACCCGGCATACTCAATTCTACACATAAAATAACGCATGCATACATACGGCGGAAGCCTAAGGCATACAAGCAACACTCATGTAATTTACACAATTCAAACACAACAGATAAACTGACTAGTAACTTACATGAAGAGCTAATCTGAAGCAGAACTACTAGCATGCATGCAATCCTAGCGAATCCTACAAGTATTTCTTCCTAAATACCGGGTGGTGACTTACCTGGTTGACGCGTGCCCTTTCGCTAGCGTTTCTTTGCCCGTGAGGTGTCCAAAACTACTGATTTCTCTAAATTAAGTCCCTATCCACGTAAAAACAGTATTAGAACTGGNGAAACCCAGTCGGTTTTTGTTTTCCGATTTTCATATCTTTCGATCCGTAGATCGGATCAATATGATTCCTTCGGCAACGTTCTAGATCGTGTTACAGGCTACGTCCTAGTATTCTTTTTATAATTTTTTCTTGACTACCGGAGGACTTAAGAACGCCGGAAATTCGCTCACCGTTCTCGGATAACCCTCGGATCTCCGTCTTTGGGTTGAGGTCTCGGCCAAACTTCTTCGCAGACCGTGCGTGAGTTGTTCCTAGGTGAAGATTTCAACATTTTAGGGTCGATTCACGTAGGGGAAAACTCAGATCTGAGCAATATCGTTCAGAAACCTTACCCCGCGAAATGTTCTT